TGGGAGAGGGTGTCAACACCTCGATCAAAGATGGCGTTGTCAAGCGAGAGGACCTTTTCATTGTTAGCAAGGTGAGGCGTGGCGGAATAATGTACAAACAAATGTCCTTTTGATTATTTCCTGCACAAATAGGCCAGTTATTGACTGTTTGTGATTTGAATGGATGTCCTCGACTTTCACAGCTGTGGTGCACTTTCCACGAGAAGTCCATGGTCAGAAAAGGCTGCGAGAAGACTCTGGGTGATCTGAAACTGGACTACCTTGATCTCTATCTGATACACTGGCCCATGGGTTTCAAGGTATTGTCAAATGTGTTCGGAAATATAAGTGTGCTCGAGATTCAGGTGTTATCTTTCAATATAGCTATGATACAGCCACCATATTCTCGATGTAATGGTTATGTTGTGTCATGTTACAGGCTGGCGAGGATCTTTTTCCATTGGACAGCGCCGGAGAGACAATCAATGACGACACTAACTTCGTGGAGACATGGGAGGTACGGTAATTTTTTTTTTTTTAAAACACTCCCTTGTTTCGGTCTAAACTAACTGGTAAAAACCTGTTTGGGATAAGCATAACAAAGCTGATTCATGATGTGGAACCACAGTCATCGAATTTGTTTAAAGACCAATTTGTTAATGTTAAGATATTATTGTTCATGTGGGAGTCACAAAGAAAGGGGAGCGTTAGGATACATTAAAGTCGGGTTTTGACAAGTTAAGACTAGTGCAGGTTTACAATGAGACAAAAGAACTGAGATATACAGTATGAGGGAGTGGAGACGAAATATAGCTGTGGCTTTTTGAAAAGACACAGACGGTATTATGTGTGGTTTTCAGTCTCTAGACCAAAAGTCATCAAAGGGCGTCTCTTTTGTTTAATTCTCTCAGGCGATGGAGGAGCTGGTGGATGCCGGTTTGGTGAAAGCTATCGGCGTGTCCAACTTCAACAAGGAGCAGATTCAAGCCATTCTCAACAAGCCAGGTCTCAAATACAGGCCGGCCAACAACCAGGTACACTAAGACAGCTGTTCAACCAATCATATTCAGGAGAAAAACACTCATTCACCCCGAGCTCTGTCCCCTTTCTTAACCCTTTTTGAAGTGACATAAAAATCAATTAAGCCAACTAGTATTATGCGGGATTTTTCTGATGATAGCCTACAGTATAAACATATAATAGAAAATAAAAATATGTGAGACTTCTATTTCAAATTGCCATGTCATGTCTATAACTGCATACAGTTCAAGTATTGTAGGATTATTGACACCAGACATATATTTAATAAATACATACCTATTGGACATGCTGTTAATATAGTAGTAGTATTTGTACATACTATACAGTATAGTATGTACAAAGTAAAGAGTAAACCTCAACAGCAGAATTAGTTTTAATAGGGATTATGATGTGTTTACCTTCAAAAAGAAGCTATAAAACAAACAAACAAAACATCCTAATCACTTCAGTGTCTCTTAAATAGCCATTAAAGATGGGGAAAAGAAAAAATGATCCAATCCGTGACTCAAAACAGTGATAGGATCTGAACCGTGCATTTTGTGATTTGTTGGACCCCTACTGAAAGGGCAAGGGGCCCTAATGGCATCATCTGTCTCCTCCAATCGGGTTTGAGGAATAAATGTCCTGTTAACTCCTAACGGGCCACAGCAGCTTCCCTCAGGCTGGAACATTAGCTGAGCTGACCTTGATTTTCTGCTTATCACAGCTACCATCACTGTCTTGTTTTATACTCGATTACAGCCCCATTCTCCTTTAGCCCTCCAGAAAGACTATTCCCATATACTCAATAAGACTGATGCCTTATGGGTAAAGTAGGCAGTTTGATGCCACTGCAAACCATATGTATGTAGAGAGGCAGAAGAGTGTCCAAACTTTTAAAAGTGCATTGAAGACATACATTTTTAACAAAGCCTTTGGTTAGAGCTCACATTTTATGGTATTCTTTTGATTTGATTTTGATGGTACTTCATTTGAATGTTTTATGTATTTTTATTGTCTTTTGTTGTTATCTTAGTTTGTTTTGTATTTCTATTTGTATTACTTACACTATCTTGTATTTTCATGTTGCTGTAACTCCATCATTTACAATGTTATTTGGTTTAATCTGTAAAGCCCACGGACAAATGTGTTGTGTTTGTATTGGGCTATACAAATAAAGATTGTTTCAAAGTATGAAACCTTTACACGGCAGTGCATGCTAAGAGTTGTGTGTTTGTCCCACTAGGTGGAGTGCCACCCGTACCTAACCCAGGACCAGCTGATCGCCTTCTGCCACTCTCAGGGCATCTCCGTGACCGCCTACAGTCCCCTGGGCTCCCCCGACAGACCCTGGTCAGTTGAGTATCAAAATGAATGCTAATTTTATTTGTTTTAAAGCCTTAAATGGGCTGGCTCCGGTTTATTTAGCAGAACTCATCCATCGCTACCCCAGCCAGAGCTTTAAGGTCGGCTGACCAGCTGCTGCTGATAGTGCCCAAGCCCAGGCTCAAAACCTGAGCACATCGAGCATTCGCAGCAGCTGGCCCCAGGCCCTGGAACACTCTGCCCCTCCATGTGAGGTTGGCCCAGACCCTAGGGGTTTTTAAATCTACACTTAAAACTCACTTCTTCTCTCTGGCCTTCTAGTCTGAGCGGAGCACGACTCCTGACATTTCCCTGTGTGTGATTTTTTTTTTTTTGTAAAGTGTTTTTATTGTATGTACAGCACTTTGGCTCGACCAAAAATCTTTTTCAAAATGGATATAGAAATAAAACTTGATTTGAAAATAACACAAACCCCCTCCTCAGCTGAATCAGCACTATGTAATGTCCCTTGAGTTAGCTTCAACTTGTGACTGACTGCAGTTCCTCTTTGTTGTGGCACATTATGTCCAGATTTATGAAATCACCTTTTTTTTCTGCCTGGTTTAGACATTTTTATTTGTAATAGATGATTTGTTGTCTTAAAAACTTTATTATTCCTCTGTTTTTTTTTGGAAAAAACACCAATAAAGGTGTTGAAGGGGCCCTATTTTGCTTTTTTGGAGTTGTCCACTTCCTTTGATATGTTATATAGGGTTTTGTGGATGTAAATGGTCGGAATTGCCTCCATTGGAGTCCTTTGTTTACTTCAGTAACAAATGACACAATGCTGCAGCACAGGAGTAAAATAAAACAATTGTTTTAACATTAAAGCATGTAAACATATCACACTAGGGACACTAAATAGTAATATGAAACCTGAAAACAATCACAATAGGGCCCCTTTAAAGTGGACCTGTCATGCTATATTTGAATAATATAGTGTAGGACCATACCTATATACGACATATTTATACTTTTCATTTTTCAAAATACCAAACAGATCATGCATTTTAGCCATTCCTCATTTCGCTCAATTTAACACTGTCTTTGCATCATGGGCTGATTCTGTGAGAACAGCACCATCTACAGGCCTGGCATATGTACTACAGCGTCTCCAGCGCTTTCCAACGGCAATGTCTGTGGCTGTCTCCTCCTGATTGGTGGAGTTGGTCCAATAGCCGTAGCGCCACTTCTGTGACGTCATAGAAGTGTTCAAATCTGGATCAGTCTGTATCAGATCCGTTGCAGCCCCTTTTTAAGAGATTTGGGTATGGAGGAAAATAGAGAGGGTTGTGTTTTCTGACACTTGGTGAGTTCCCTGGAACACCGGGGACACATATTCATGTATAAAAGACGTGCATTTTGCATGATAGGTCCCCTTTAATGGTTTGACCTTTTCCACAATTACCACAGCTTTTGTAGTAGTGTTTGAGGAAATGCCACTCTTATTTAAGATTCCATTATGTTATTACAACAACCTAGAAAACTTCAATCAATAATTGTGAACATTAGGTATGTTCTAGTCAGAAACATGTGATGTTGTAAAGTTGAGTTTGAGCACTCTAGTTTTTGGATGTGTCTATGTTTACATGTATCTTTGGAGCATCATTAATCATAGAAATCACATGTTGGAATTGTTTTTTTTTAATGAGGGTTGTTTCTCTTTAAGTTAATTCAAAGTTTGCCAAAGTGTTTCCATTATTCTACCTTTTTTAAATTACAGAAAAATAATGCAAAATGTGCCGGTCCTGTAAATTAAACAGTTGGTATATTTCAGGGCTAAACCTGAGGACCCCTCTCTGCTGGAAGACCCCAACATTAAAGCCATCGCTGCGAAGCACAACAAGACTGCTGCTCAGGTACAGCACTGCCTCCAATAAATAAGACATGCAATCACACACGCTTTAAAAAGTGATTTTCCTTGTTCCTCTTTTCCTCGTGATGCACGTGGGCCTCTCTGTTCTGACCCCTGATCTGTTCACATGTTTGCGGCAGGTCCTGATCCGCTTCCACATCCAGAGGAACGTGATCGCAATCCCCAAATCCATCACACCCAGCCGCATTCAGGAGAACTTCCAGGTACTGAGCCGAGAACTAACTCGGATGCTTTCCAGGATTAGCCCTCTTTCCGGCTCGTGTGTAAAGATGCTGTTTTAATCTTTTTGCAGGTGTTTGACTTTGTTCTCACTGAGGAGGAAATGAAGACTATAGTAGGCTTCAACAGGAACTGGAGAGTCTGTCCAATGCAAGGGTGAGATCTTTTGTTTACAGTATATTGTGTTTCTTACCGTCAAACTGTTGAGGAGATGTCAAATAAAACTCCCATTTCTTTATGTTTTTCCCCCAATAGGAGCTTGAAGCACAAGGACTATCCGTTCCACGCTTGATTCTGGAATAGATGAATTCCACCAGAGCGTGCGTCTCCACCCACTGCACTGCTTTATCCTTAGAGCGTTTTGGATATTTAGTACAGCCTTACCTAAACGTTCAAATGTGTTGCTCTCAGGAGAAACTTTAATTCTTTAGTGATCACTTTTGTCTAACTGAAACACACTCCTAAAGCCTCTTTATACAAAATGAGGGCCCTGGTATTTTTTTCTTAGTTTGCTTTTAAATGATTTTTTATTTGCGTGTCATTTTATGTTACTGAAGAACTGTGTACAAACTACATTTGTATTTTCAAACTGAATAACTGCTCTCATCTATTTTTGAAACAACAATTTATAAAATCATGCTCTTTGTATATTTGTAGATTAACCGGATGTAGCACATGTGTGAGTAAATGCTCATAAGTAAATGAAAAGATAAATTCCTGTTTTAAGTCCAAACACTGCTCATGTCGCTACGCTAATTTAAAAGCACTGTTGTCTGTTTAAAATTCAGAACTTAATGCACTCATTTTGGGATGACAAAGTATTTATTTTACTTTATTCGTGAGTCATACATGACGCTATTTTTCCTGTTATGAAATCAATGCTTTCACTTCCCACTTGTAAGACGCTAAAATAAAGTCCTGTGGGAGACAATAAAACAAGTTGCTGCAATGTTTTTCTGCACAGCTGAGAAGAAAACACTCAGGGGAAGTGTGTTCCTCTCTGTGACCACTAGAGGTCAGAAGCTCACAGTGAGCCAGGTAATAAACATCCGTACACACGCATACATAGCGACACTTGAATTCTCATATATGTAATGCTCCATATTTGTATTTGTAGTAAAGGAAATGTCATTAAGCTGTTCCCTACTAGTTTGTATTTAAAGGGGACAGAGTAACATTAGGTCTGTTTACACAAAGAGAGTCTTATCCTTCTGGAATGCAGGAAGCTGAAACTGCCAACGAGGAGAAAAGTCCAGCGTTCTCTGGAGAAATGAGCCGAGCTCGTGTGTTTGATTCATAGAGGGAAGTTAATCATGAACTCATACAAGCGTCTAACCCAAATGCCAATATTGTATCAGGTTATTTACTAGTTTCTGTTTCATTTTGGGCCATATTCCAAAAGTAGTAGGCTACTAAACAGAATCTTAATTAGTCCTATTGTATTGCCTACTGAGAACTTCTGTGCGCTGGACCTTCAGACAGACATTTTGAACTTCCTACAAAGTGATTTTTTTTTTTACAGCTTTATTTATTAAAAGATTCAAATTCAAAATATAATCAACAAACAATCACATTAATTTACTTTTGAGATAATGCTTTATTGATTAGCGATTTAAACTCACAAGCTACACAGCAATATATATATTTATGAAAATAAGTTTATTTACAAGCTGCGACATTATAGTTGAGTATAAAGTATCCGATAAAACATTATTCTTGAGGAACATGTTAAATAAAAGACTTAAACAGAGTATTTATACACCGGTATATGGCAACCTTACTCAGAGTACTTATTTCACCTCTGCACAGCGTCGATAGTGATCCAGGTATTTAACCCTAAGGTAATGGCATACTTAGTAAAGGGTAGGCCCCATTAATCATAGGTAAAAAAATTAATCATCAAATCCTAGCAAAACAGGATGTGGATGAGTCAGCGTGTAGATTTTAAATCAACAGAAAGCTCCGCACGATGTCTAGTATTCTGTATTCAGAGGGAAGTCTTTGTGATGTGTCGCCCTGTGGAGAAGAGAGGAGGAGGAACACACGTTACATAAGAAATGGATAATGGGTTCAGTTACATCATAGTTCAACTCTTTAACTCATTAACATCACACCCTCAGTGAAGAAAGAAGTACTCAGACTTTTGCTAAAGTAGCAATACCAAATGTAAAAATAAATGTTATAATGTAAGTATTGGCATACAAATGTAACTGATACACTAAAAGTAAAAGTACTTATTGTGTGTAAAAAGCCCTTAATATATTATGCATTAATATGTTCATCACAGCTGAAACACCTGGTGCTATTTCTTTTAAATTAAACTGCTACTGGATGCATTAACCTAGCATAATATATCATAGTGTAGACTGAAAACTCATCTCTTTTGACTCCACTTTGAGCAATACAATTACTAACAAAGCACTTCTAAACTAATAAAGGACTGGCTTATCTAAAGCCAGTTGAGTAGCACTTGAAACGTTTTGGCTATGAAACCTGATATGATTCTGTTTTCTTCAAGTTTGTATCTTCTTGATCGAATGCACTTATTGTAAGTTGCTTTGGATAAAAGTCTCAGCTAAATGTAATGTAATATGTGTAATTATATTCTGTATTAACTAATAATATGAATCTGAAGTAACTAGTAGAAAAAGAACAATACTGGCTTCCAAAATATAGTGGCGTATAAAGTAGCATTGAAGGAAATACTTAAAGTACAAGTAGCTTAAAATCAATCAGTGTTTGGGTAAACCTCGTTAGATTCTTGTCTACATATTGTTCTGTTTGATCCCTGTCTACTCACCATTCCATTTTGAATGCTCTCCTCTCGTTGAAGCTCATCATGGTCTTCATGTCTTCATCACTCAACTTGAAGTCAAACACCTGGAAGACAAAGAAGAGGATTTATAACGGAAACTCCTCTTACAAAACACATTGCATTGAAAGGGTTTCTCTCTGTGTTGACTCCCCCTTTTAGTCCCAGAGATTAAAACAAACAGTAGATGTAGTGTACCTGGAAGTTCTCCTTGATCCGATGGGGCGTCGCTGACTTGGGGACAACAAGCATGTTCCTGTCGATGCTGAACCGGATGAGAACCTGGGGTAAAAACAGCATTATACAACAATTATTCTATTTTACAAAGTATCTGTCTATTTTTTTATTTTCTGTGTTGACCCGCCAACGGAAACCTACGAAAATTACTACAA